ACTATATTTTTTAATATGTTAAATTTATTATAATGAATATTTGATTTTCGTAGCCAGTGTAATAATAGACGAATTGGAACGACAAATATTTAATTAGTTTTTTCTTTTTATTGATACTACTACAAAAAAATTGTTATATTCTAACAGGAAATCTAATGATAATATATTTCAACGGTTATTCCAATGGTATAGCTTCCGTTGGAATGATTCCAATGGAAATTCCAACGAAAATATTGCGTTGGAATGACTTTTCCATTTGAAGTTTAGATGGAATTTGATGATTCAAACGGCTATGTTTCCAACGGTTTTTTACTGTAGAAATTTACGTTGGAAATTTTATTTCCACCTCCGTTGTAATCGTCGAAATCTAACGGAAATTCCAATTTCAATGGAAAATGCATTCCAACGGAATATTTTTGTTGGAATTTCCGTTGAAGTTCCATTAAAATATATTTGTATTGGAATTTTCCGTTGAAATTTCATCATTTTGTTGTAGTGTACATAGCTAATTCTTCCAATAATTGTTTATCACTATTTTTTATTTATATTTCTATCATTTAACTTTCAAATTTGTCTGGAATAATATACCAAATATTATCTTATGCTATTGTATACCAAATAAATTTCTTTTAATATATGTTTATTTACGATTGTTCACTACTTCACTTTATAAATTTAGTGTTAGTGATTAGTATTCTATATTATATTTAAAATATAATATTTTTGGTATTTGAAAAGTATCTATTAATTTGTTTTATTTTCTCTAGCCAATTAATATGTATGTGTTATTTATTTTAGGAGGAACATTTAGCAATTCATTATTTTTTAATATGTTCCTTGCATTCTGTAATTTCTATCTGAAAAATTTATATCACTTTATGTATTAAATGGAGAGTTTCCTAAATCTATGTGTTAATTAATATTCGATGCTTCATAACTATATTTATCAATTTTTTGGACTCCGTAATTCTATATGTCAATTTTGGATGTTTCGGAGACTATATAAATCTTGACTTATATCATCTATTAGAAAATTTTAATTATTGGAAATCGTGATACAGTGTTCGTGCATGTGATTTTATTTTATACTACGTATAATTTCCATAAGTTTTCTTATTGAAGTTTATATTATGGGTATTAAATCATTGTGAGAGGATCTGTTTTGGAGGAAAAAATTTTATCTTCCTAAATCTCGAAATGGTTGGGTTACGCATGTTAGTTTGCCAATGAGTTTTTGTATTTCAGCTTTGATGGAGATGTTTTTGCTAAAAAAGGAAACGTTTTTGCTACAAAGTAACATTTTCCTTGATTTCTTAATCCTTTTTCATTTCATCCGTTACGACCTGACATTGTTGATCATATATCTCTTATCTTATGACTTTATATAAAGAGATTGAGAACAATATTTTTCTCTCTTTCACTATGAGTTCTTCCTATAACCATTTTTGTTTTTGCACCTTTCATTAATCAGTGCTTCAGAAACATATGGTCTCACGGCAAAGGCCTAGAGAAGAGAAAGGCAACACATCGATATCTAGAAATCAGTCCAAGCAATGACTTCTGTCTTTAGTTATATTTTTCTATGAGTTCTTCCTATAACCATTTTTGTTTTTGCACCTTTCATTAATCAGTGCTTCAGAAACATATGGTCTCACGGCAAAGGCCTAGAGAAGAGAAAGGCAACACATCGATGTCTAGAAATCAGTCCAAGCAATGACTTCTGTCTTTAGTTATATTTTTCTTATTCGACTGCACTTCTTCAAGGGAGATTTGCCTTTGGTATTAAAGTCAAAAAATGGGGGAATAAGATGTTTTTGAAGTTGCTGGGGATAAAAACGTTAGTTGTTTATTTCTGATTATTTCAAATGCTATTTTAACATGTTTTTGTAGGATGTAGGAACTTTTAAGTTATGTGTTATATTTATGATATTTCCTGCTAATTTGATTGTTTTGACTAATCTGACAAGTTGACATGAGTTGGTTAAGTTCTGTATGAAAGCAATTATATTTGATTATTTTGTTGGATTTAGTTGAGAGTCGATAGGGGGTTTCTAATTGTTTTGATTTTTATACTTAAGTTCGAATAGTGAGATGTATTTTCACTGCTCTAATTGTACTCCTCTTACTTTGTTTCGATAGGAATTGTTTTGATGTTCTTATATTATAGTATTTAAATAGTGCACATTCTAACGTTCAATAGATACTTGCTTTGTTGTTTGAGTTTGTTTGCAGGATATCTTCAAAAAACACAATTTTTGAATTAAATGCAAGAGATAGAGATAGTTAAATATTTGTTGGCATCGTCCGATAAACATAAAGATTATTAATCCTAGTTTCTAAAAAAATTTCTCGTTGGGCATGCAAAAAAAAAAAATAAATAAATAAATAAAGAAAAGTCTTCTATTTATTTACTTGTAAATTAATTACTTTTCCAGTATTATTTTTTAATTATATATGGAACACATTTATTATATTATGTAATAGAATCCTAAATCTTTTTGTAGAAGAATTACATAATATATATATTATATATATACACTTTTCATATATGTCACTTGCATTAATGAGTTGAGTTGACAGTCGATCACCAACGGTTACAGATTTATATCTAATAGGAGCTTATATCAGGGGTTACTAATAAATTCATAGAATCAAATAAAAAAGTAAAGGACACGGAAAGACAAGTGCAGAAAAATAATAAGACACCAATTTTGTCGATTTGAGGAGGAGATCAGTTTCTCCAGGAATTTTTATTGACGGTGTTTATGTTTAGTGGTTGTAATACTAGTTTGTATATTTCTTCCCTCTCTTTTCTTAGGGGCAAGGATTTGCTGGTATTTATACACCAAAAATTTTTAAGTATAATAAATGTTCCGTGGCAGCTAGGGGCATAAGGTGACGCAGCGTGTATTCAGGAAAAACTCGACTTTTGAGGAAAATACAGCTTGGATGGTAACTTTATCAGCTTTAACAGCTCTGCTTCTACTTGCAAGAGAGATCTTCAATCTTCATGGGGAAGATTCAGGATGAGATCGACATAAGGGGTGGTCGGCTGATCGGGGAGATCGATAAATCTTGTTGGTGCTTCTTCTTGGACTACTTGTGCTCGTATTTGTAGGCCTAATGCATATTCGACCTGGCCTTAATAGGCCGGTTCAGAGTTTGTAAAAATTTAGGTACAGGCGTACAGCATGGAGGCCCACAGGTTTGCAGGTTTGTAGGTGAGGAGGGGATCGCCAATACGCCTGGGAAGCTACTTCATTTGTAACTTCAGTTTTCGTCAATCACGATGTCAATTACATCTACAGGAGTTGGGTAGGATAAGGTGTCTTTTCAACTGAAGCATATAAATAAAAAATGGGGGGTGTCTCGTCAGAGTTGAGGCATGTCTTTGTAGATTCGAACATATCTCTTGGGTTTTGTACCTTAATGGAACATGATGCAATGATTGGAGTGTTGTTGATAAATAGAGTATCCTCGTGGCTCAGACTTATTCGTACTTCCTTTTTTGAATTTGAAATTCCTAAGCCCGTCTTTCCATTCTATCTTTTCTTGAGTTAATCAAATATAACAAACGTAAGTGTACTCCTACCTCTACACCCTAGTCTTAGACCCCTCGATAAAAATTATCTAATCTAGTCTCCACTGAAAAAGGCTCCCTAAGAGTACAAGCCAAATTAACGTGCTTTTTGGTCTTTTTGGTCACACTCCCTTTCAAAAAATCGAAAAAGTAGCCATTTTTATGAAAATGATAAAAATTGCTTGATCTTGCCAAAGAACAATATCATTTCTCACTCCTCTGATTCTCCATCTCTTATTTGGACTTCTCCAGTTTGATGTATCAACCGTTCATTATAACATGGAATTGAACTCCATCTCTTTGATCTGGACTCGTCCAATTCAATGTATCGATATTTAATATTCATACAAGAATTAAACACCCATCAAATACAAATATATCAACCTTCAATACTCACAGGGCCTGTTTGATATCCAAGATAGGATTAGATATTAATAATTAGGAGTGCCTAGATTGTACTGTTAAGATTTGAGGAAACTTGAGTTTGGTGGCCATGATTGTGAGCAAGAGAAAGATTAAAAAAATTTAATTTTTGTGTTTGTGGTGAATGACAATTGATAGGATAAACCACCATTTTACTTAACTACCCTTTGATTGTCCAAATTTTTTAACGACAGAAATTACGTTTTATTCCCGTATTTTGCCCCAATTCTAACCTAATTCTGTTGCCCATCGAAAAATCCTTTCTGTCAGTCTCGCCCAGCGATCTCTGCCTGTCGGCCATGGAATTCAATCAAGGAATCATCCGGCGTAAGGTTTGGACGGGACCTATTCGCATCTGAGAACTTCTTCCATTGCTTCTGTGAATTCACGGTAATATGTATTATTCTGCCATAATTTTTTACTTTCTTACAGATATCTTCTTCCTGTGACGTAGTTATTTAATTGGGTGGGATTATCTTTCTAAATCAGCGTTGTTATTTATTTTCATTTCTTGTCTTTCGGGTCTCGAAGCAGTACGTAATTGTGTACCACATTATTTGCGAGTTGTGAATGAAAAAGGCAAGACTGTGTTGTTGTTTTGTCCAATCCGCATAACCATTATTCTTTCCCCAGTAGTTGTATTCAAAAAGTATATGATTATATTCTCTGACATGTTGATGTTTGCATGGGTTGCTGTCATTTCCCATTGGATTCCTTTTGAACAGTAAGACACAATTTGGCAGAGGTATAACATGCTTTTTGAAAAATAGTGTTTGAACCTGGTGTGTTTAATCAGTTGTTAGCTTTATCATTTACTTACATCACATAAATTGTGAAATTCCTATATTTGGTACACATTACCCGCCTCTGTGTGCTCGGTCATGTCCTCCCCTATATAAACACGTTCGTTTAGCTTACAATTTACACATTCTCAAGTGAAGGGCAGAAAAATACATTTTAATTAACCCAACCTCTATTGTCATTAAACAACTGTATAATGGCACGTTTGGGAAGGGAGGCCACACAAGATGACTTCCTTTACGATGATCGTTGGACCAAAGAGGTGGACAACCTGTTCATAGACCTCCTTGTAGAGGCACATTTTGGTCTTGAATGGAGGCATGGCAGACCAGGTTCGCATGTATTCGCCTACTGCCGTGGTGTATTGCTAGCAGATCTCGGGGCAAACTTCACGGTCAGTGAAGTCGAGGAAAGGTTCGATTTCCTTCACAAGCGTTTTCGAGTCTTTATTTGGATGCTACGAAAACATGGATTGCATCACTGCGTCCAATCCAACGTCCTCACGGCTCCGGTAGCAGTGTGGGATGATATCTTCCAGGTATTTTTTTAATATGATTTTATTATTACGATTTTACCAAAATAGATATGCAACTGCCATGTGTTTTTTGTTGTGGACTTCGCTTTTGTTATGTTCTTATGCTTACGCAGCAACAGGAAAAAACTTGTACCATTTGTTCTACTGTTTAATTATTGCGCAAAATGTTGTAACCTCATTGTCCTGTTAGCTCCTCCAGAAATGTGTTTATTCATAAGTTGTGTAGTTCTTAATTTGTTTCTCCTTTACTAGTACGCATATGAAAATGTTATTATATAGCAAATTTAAAGGTGTTCATAGGAGTGGCTGTGTTTTCTGAGGCTGCCCATTTGGGTTTGTTTTAGAAATTGTGTTGTGTTACGCATATATGTTTAAATTATAGTCTGAAGTTGTAAACATAAATTTATGCAGTCTGACCCATTCTCGGTAGCATAACAACATTCTAGGGACCCGCGTTGGCCGGACATACGATACTTGTTCACTGAGGTCTACGAAGCCAGCGCAAATCCACCGGATGTGTTGGACCAAAATTCGACGAATGCAAATTATGTAGCAGCCTTGTACGAACAGTCGTACGTGTTTGAGCTGAGTTCCCTTACCAATGACCCACTTCTAAATGGTTCAATTGGAACCAACATTCACCAACCAAGATGTGCCCGAGAACGTCAGGATTCATCCGAAGGCTCAGTCAACACCCACACCCATGTGAGCAATCAAAGGCGGGGGAGCCGCACACCAATGCGCATTCCCCGACCACCACGTAAGTCGGCCCCATCTTCATGCAAAGGATCTTCCAGTGACCCACCTACCTAGCTGAACACTTCTGAAGTCACAACCATTGTTATGGACAATTTAGTTTTCGTTATTTTGTGGGTTGTGTTTTGTATTATTATTGACTTTATTGTCATGTACTTTTGTCGGTGCTTGTAATCACCAATTCCGAATGGTTCTATGTACTTCAGTAACCATGTTTTGCTTTATATGTGTGATCATGAAGTAATGACCGAGTGGTTATATGTGTGTTCTCCGCTTTGGATGCAAGTGTGATGTGCTGCTGACAAAAAAATTGCTTGTCTATGCTTGAAGTTGAAATAGAAAACCACAACAAACAAACAAAATGTAGTAGGATCAACATTCATTTCACAACCTAAACAAAATATGGCAGCCATAATCATATCCATCACTACATGGCATTCACCAGATTATAACTGGCGTCCATGAAACCAAAACGTTGGGAGATTCAAAACACAAAACGGTACTAATAGGCAGCCTATTATACTAACATCTGCACACTACTAATTACACAAGCAAAAGTCATATATACACATAAAATACATAGGGCCTGTTTTCTAACCGTATGAAACACGGCCATACTAGCATCATATAGTCGGGAAGTAAAAACCAAACAGATGTGAAAGCCCAGCCGGAAAAATATTTGTCCATCAGTTGGAGTCCACGCATGAGTCCACATCCGACTCATTCTCCCCTAATTCGTGATCGTCATCCATATCATTCGGTCCCATAGGAACTTCATCTTCCTCGATTGGGCCGTGAACCTGCTCCTCCACTTCAAAATCATCTTCCATGACATCCATTAAAATTGGGTTCTGCAAACTCTGACCTGGGTTGCTCTCGATGTCCACTTGTGCAACCCCCCGTAAGTTCCACAGTTGCACACACTCATTGTATCATTTGAAGCCATTCCAACGAAAAAACACTTCTAAATCGGTCTCCTGCAGGTGGATATCATTTTTCGAGACGTTAACAAAGTTTCACTGCATGTTTATTAAAAAGGTTATAACCATACACACTTACCTCTCCGACGAAATTCCAGTAGTCTCAGTTCACACTAACCAAAGACCCGTCATCATGAACGTCGACTCCCGGTGTGGTCATGTAGCGAAGGAATTCATGGTAATGTCCCTCAAGGCAATGGATTTTATCACGTACCTTCATCCACGAGAAGTCCTTCTGCATCAGCTCCGATAACTGAGGGAAGAGTCCGAACCATAGGGAATTGAGGACATGTGCCATGTGAACGTCGTCCATCTCTGCACAT